GCTTCCCTGTCTATCACCAACTCCCGGAGTTTACTCAAACTCATGCCCGTTGAGTTGGTGATGCCATCCAACCATCTCATCCTCTGTCGTCCCCTTCTCCTCCCACCTTCAATCTTTCCTAGCATCAGGGTCTTTTCCAATGAGTCAGCTCTTTGCATCAGGTGGCCAAAGTATTGGAGTTGCAGCCTCAGCATCAGTCCTTCCAATGAATATTCAGGACTGATTTCCTTTCGGATGGACTAATTGGATCTCCTTGTAGTCCAAGGGACTCTCAAGAGCCTTCTCCAACACCACAGTTCAAAAGCATCAATTCTTTGGCACTCAGCTTTCTTTATAGTCCAACTCTCACATCCATACATGACTGGTGGAAAAACCATAGCCTTGACTAGACAGACATTTGTTGGCAAAGTAATGTCTCTGCTTTTTAATATGCTATCTAGGTTGGTCATAACTTTTCTTCCAAGGAGTAAGCATCTTTTAAGTTAATGGCTGCGATCACCATCTGCAGTGATTTTGGAGCCCCCCAAAATAAAGTCTGCCACTGTTCCCCCATCTATTTGCCATGAAGTGATGAGAATTATACATTAAGAATTGTATGATATTTAATGTGTGTTATAAGCCAAAAAAATTCATAGGTTTATGTTATCACAGCAATAAGAAGCTAATATGTGCCTGACATGAGATGACTTGAAAATAGAAAGGGAAACATATAATGGTTGTTTCATTTTAGCTAATATTCGAGAGATAGTCTTTAAATATTGAGAGCATATGGAAGTGAAAATGAGTGCAGAAAGCATAGATCATTAGAGGAAACATTAAATTAAATTTCAGCAAATTAAAGTTTCTGTTCTTCTAAAAAATTATCAGGAAAATTGAAAAAAGCCTCCAACTGGGAGCAAATATTTACAAGCCTATGTCTGATAAAGGATTTGTATTCAGACTACCTATAATTCTTATATATCAATAAGATATGTGAAGTGAGATCCTACTACATACCTAAAATAGTCTTAATAAAAAATTGATAGTGTTAGTGTGAACAAAAATGGGAGCAACTGTGATTCTCAAACATTGCTGGTGCAAATACAAAATGGCATAACCACGCTGGGTGATGGGTTGATCAGTTACTTTTAAGTTAAACATCTGCTTAACATGTGACCTGGTAATTTCATTCCTATATATTTATCCAAGAAAAATAAATATATGTGTCAAAACTAAAATCTGGATGTGAATGTTTATAGCAGTTTTATTCATAATCACTCAAATTGAAAACAACCATCAACTGTTGCATGGAGAAACAAAGTGTGGGTACATATGTACAATGAAATACCACTCAGTAGTAAGAAGGAATGAATTGATACCTGCAACAATATAAGAAAATTTCAAAAACATTATGCTCAGTGGAAGAAACCAGATTCAAATGACCACATATTTTATGATCTCATATGATATTCTAAAAAATGCAAAACTATAATAGTGGAAAACAGATCAGTATTGCCAGGGTCTGAGAGTTGGGGACTGTGGCTACATAGGGACATGAGGAAACATTCTGGGATAATAAAAGTACTACATATTTTGTTTGTGGTAGTGATGACATAACTACAAACACATTAATAAAAACTCATTGATCTTAAAAAGAAAAATTTTTTTATATATAAAGTGAATCTGATTTAAGCCCCCCCCCCAAACAAGTACAAAGCACGTGATTTAAACAAGGGTCTGTCCAGCTTTGCAAATGTAATATTTCTCTAGAGAATTTGGCTTCTTAATATAGAAGAGGGGAAATCCCATATAGGTGCAAATCTTTGCAATTATATTTCATGCATTAAAATTCAACTGTAGCATATGTTTCCTTGTCTGGTCTCTTTGATCAATGTAAAACTTACAAAAGAATATTTTAATTAAATATAAGAAGTCCAAGATGAATTAAGACCGCCTGGAAAAAAACCAGGAAATGTTCTCACTTCATCTTCATAAAAAAATGCACTTGGAAGAATGGTTTGATACACTGTGAATAGAATACTGAGAATTGTACAATAGTTTGCTGAAATGAGTGTAATTTATCTCGCTCAATGCTCAGAAATAGCCTTTAAAGGACTCTTTTACTAAAAAGAGAAACATTTCCAGGCATGTAAAGTGTGCTAGGCTCCTCAGAGAAAAATACAAAGTAAAGGGTATTATTATTTCATGAGCTTTGGACTGACTTTGACAGTCATTATACTTGTTCCATTTATAATTGCTGGGGTTGCCTTCACAGAACACATCTTTCGTATGTGCATGTGCATTTGTAATTCATTAAAAGCACACACTCATTTTGGGAAATGCTGTGTTAGAGATACAGACACTGAACTTGTGAGAAAGCAACTATTTTGCCCACGTTATTTTGTGTCATCAGAGACACAGAGAGGATCAGTACCCATGGGGGCTTCTTGGGGATCTGTGAGTCTCCGCATAATTATTTACATGAAGGAGATTTTTAAGAATTTTATTTTGTGAACGCTTATTTTAAGAATGTAATTTGTCAAGGAACTATGCTCCTTGTGTCTTTTTCCACAAAGTGGGCCTGAAGATTGTAATAGAAAAACATTAGATTAGAAAAATGTAATTTCATTTTACTTATAAATTTATAATCTAAGGGGGAAAAACAGCCCAATTCCATTCTTTGCTAATATCGCTCAACGGCAGCATACTTCATTTGTGCATGCAGCCTGCTTCTCACTGTTTTAATAAGCATTTCTGTCCCTTCCCTTGGGGGTTTGTAGTCACAGTCAATAGCCATAAACTATAAAGATGTGAGGATGTTTCATCTCATTAAGATGCCACGTAACTGGGATTCCTTCCTCGTCCTTCTTACATCTGATTTGTGTTCCTCAAATGTGACCTTGAAGGCCTTGGTTGCTTTGCAAACACATTGCATGTCCCGAGGGCACATAATTAAGTAGGTCACATGCTTTATACTGCCTATTAGTACTTGCCTTTCAGCATGCATTTCCTCTGTTCTACTGTGGGAAAATTCTCTTTTTCATAAGACATTCTTGGAAAAGTTCTTGGCACTTTCGGCAGATGAAATGTCCTTGATACATTGTGGGGACACTTAAGGTCATTCGGGATCTCATCGGTCATGAGAATAATTGCTCTCACATTTTTTAAAGAGTAGAATCCATTCATACTAATTGTAGATTTGTACTTCCAGAGGTAGAAAAGAGGTCTCAAGGATGATAGTTGTGGTTATAACCTTTGCCAATTAAAATTTTAAAAATTCAATAATTTTTAAATAATACTATCTATGAAATGTCACAACAAAATATTAAAAAAACTTTTAATGTGTTTTGCTAATCTTGGCATTTATAAATTGGTTTGCATAAATGCATATGTAACTTGTAGCTGCTGCTGCTGCTGGTAAGTCCCTTCAGTTGTGGCCGACTCTGTGCAACCCCATAGACGGCAGCCCACCAGGCTCCTCTGTCCCTGGGTTTCTCCAGGCAAGAACACTGGATTGGATTGTAACTAGTAGAATTTTTATTGATTCTTCTTGGAAATGATATTTACCCTGCATTCTGTAGGATTTCCCAATCAAATAAATAAATATGTATGCTGGAATTGTTTATAATTTTGCTTTCATAACTTTAATAATTGAATGTTAACTTTTAGCAACAAGATAAAATTTCATTTTGATGACTATAATTATTGAGTAGTATTAATAAAAGATTTAAAAATATTTAGGACAAGTAGATTTTGAAGAAAATCAGAATTACTGGCTTTGCCCCTCCACCCCACTGTCACAATCCTTCATCCTTTGTAAAGCGTGTAAGTATTATACGTTTCTCCACCAAAGAAATCCACTATTAACAGTCTAATCCTAGATGAAGCATTTGTGCCCTAATTAATAGGCCTATTTCACCAAGCTGGATTGTGTAACTAGTGATGTGCTCCTCTTAGTGAAGCTAATAAAGAGCTAATCAAGAAAATGCAATTGAGTTTTCACATGATGATCATGTTGGGAAATTAATAAGAGATGAAATGGTGGCAAAGAGATCACAGAACCATGTAGAACAGTGATTTCCCATGTTTTATGTGCATGAAGATCACCTGACAAACTTGTCAAAACACAGATTTTGATGCAATTACTCTTGGGTGGGGACTGAAATTTTTCTAACAAGCAGGAGGCACCGTGCTTTGAAGAGCATGTTTCTAGACCTCCACTACATCACACTTTACTGTCTGAGTAAATGCTATGGGTTGGCACACAGGTCCATGGCATCGTGCAGGCCCGAGCTACTTCTTTGTACCCAAGGGAACTGAGCAATACGCTGGGACACAAAATATACCTTGCAGATTAAAACGTACCCATTTGCCTTTTATTCCTCTGCTAGAACTTTCCTAAGCTGAGGCTGTCGACTTACAGAATGACTGGTCCCAATTTTACTCTGAAATATATTCTTGGGTGGTGGTGACAGAGGAGGGTACAGGCCTCCATGTGCTGTGGACATAGTCAAAAAGGATGATTTATCAGGCGGTGGGCGGCGGGGGTAGGGGTGATGATGCTGTGCTGGACACTGTTCAGGATTTGCGAGGATGCTAGTGTGTGCCCTTGGGGGCCGCCACCCTGAGTTGAGTGGAATTGTATTGCAATGGGCTTCTTACTTTCCTTTATTGCCCCTAAAACATAGAATGAAGCTTTCTTTTCCAGTCTTATTGAATACGACTTTCTTTTTAATACAGGAGAAATTAAAGAATTTTATTGTTCAACTGAAAATTCATAATGAAACCTTTGAATTGAATTTGTCTCTAACTAATCTTAAGATTATCTACATAAATTTGAGGGGAAAAATCCAACAAAATAAAGCCAGTATACCTATGCAAGGCGTATTATTCATTCAAGTTCCAGACAATGGTTTGTCTCAGCAGTCTCGTTTTTGGAGACACTTAATTAAGATAATCTGGCTGATGAACCTCCTACTTCATTATAACACACTTAGATTTCTTTCTGCTTTGTTCTCTAGGATGACTCATTTCCTATGAAGAGTCAAGAGCCAGGAAAGACTAAAGATGATGAACGTATACAAAATCCAGAAAAACTAACTGGGAGGCCTCAGAAAAGTAATATTTAAAAGAGAATATAAGGGATGCTTAACTTTTCCTTAACATAATAAATAATGAGAAATGGACAAACGAATTCAAAGATTCCATTTCAAACATTCTTATGATTGCCTCAAGATATTTTTCTGTTTCTTTTTATTATCTTTGGCTGGGTGACGTTTCCTCATAAATAAATCAACAAAGACAACAGTAATATGTGAAGGCTTATCGCCAAGATTCTACCAACAGCAGGGGCAATTTCCATGTTTTGAAATAACAAATGAAACTGTGATGTGTTCTCTATAACTCATTTCCTTTTCCTCCCAGGCATGCGGCTACTTTGTACACCCTCTGCTCCTAACTGTGGCCATGTGACTGAGTTTTAACTAATGAAATTTGGGTACAAATATGTTCTTTCTCTAAGACTGTCATGAAAACTCACCCACAAATTTGCCGTCATGCTTTCCTCTCCCAGGACTGACTGGAGAAGAGAGGGAAGGGAGGAGACACAAGGAGAGGCTTAGCCCACAATTGGGCTCACCATGTACAGAGGGTGATGTGGGGAAAAACCTCAACACTGGATTGTAAATTTAGAGAAAACAAAACTATTGTTTGGAGGCATTACACTTATGGATTTGTTTGTAATGCAATAAGCCTACCCTAAATATCACAGGTGGAAAACAGGAAATTAAAGTCTAGTTTTGAGGTCTGCTGTCTCCATTGAGGAGAGGGTCTAGGTCTTTGTCTTCGAATATTAGGCAGATTGCCTTGTATTATTAGGTTTTTTGTACAGATTTGCTGAAATAATTGGTATTACTCTCCAGATTCTTCTCCTGTGCTTGCTTCAGTGATAGTTCAGGAGTCCATACCCCATTCAGACTTGTGTCCAAATATGATTGGAGCTATTCCATTAAAAAGAATTCTTTTCAGTTGTAGTTGGCTATTGCAAAAAGTTCCTGTTGCAAAGGAACTTTTGCATAAGTGAATTCACCTGTCAATATTTCTTTTCCGAATCATTTTCTTCTGTTGCAATCTAAAAGATGCTGTTATTTAGTGGTAAGAAAAGGTTGCTTGCATGCTAAGTCACTTCAGTCATGTCCAACTCTTTGTGACCCTTTGGACTGTAGCCTGCCAGGCTCCCTTGTCCATGGGGATTCTCCAGGCAGAAAACTGGAGTGGGTTGCCTTGCCCTCCTCCATGGGATCTTCCTGACCCAGGGATCAAACTAGTGTCTGTTATGTCTCCTGAATTGGCTGGCAGATTCTTTATCACTATTGCCACCTGGAAAGTCCCAGCTAGGAAGCAGGGGAAAAGGATTCTTGAATTATGAAATAAACATGAAACTTAGTCTTTCTCTTCAAAGAATTTGCACTTTCTGGGAATAGAAAGGAAATTATCTTCTATGATTATTTCTAGAATCTTTTCATACTAAAGAAGTCATCACCACCTGCTGAATCCTTTTGTTTCTTGAGGGACCATTCTTTGGACTGAGTGGGCTATCTGTATCAGGACATTTTTTGTTTTAACACATCAAGATGGTGATGTGCTCAGTTTTCAAAAAAATATTTAAGTTCCTCACTTATTGTATTAGGTACTTGAGTAGACAGTATATAAGTACTCAAAGGGAAATGGTTCCTACGTTTTGTAAACCTATTCTTTAGGTAGACAGAAGCTGCTAATATGAACTTGAAAATAACACGGTAAAATCACAAAAGTGTCAAAAATAAAACAGATGGTTCATTTAAAAGGAAAATATCATCCTTTGTGTGGGAGGGTGGATGCACACTCAGAGAGCATTCCAAAGAGAGGATGCAGTACCTTGTTTAGCCCTGTTATTGTTCTTCAAGAATCCTTAATCAGATATTTCCTTGGCTCTGGGCAGATTGCATCATTATTACTGTCAGTGTACACGAGATATTGACATCAGGGCTGTCTTTATCAAAACAGATCACATGGCAATGCCATCCTTTCACTTGACCAGTCCAAAAGCCCTAGCATCATCCACATGTTCTCTCATCCTTTTATACCCTATACCCAACCTCTCAGGGAATCATGACAACTTTACTTTTCAAACACATCTATCAGCTCTCTACTCCTCTCACCTGGACGGCTGCAAGCCTAGACCCAGCCACCATCAGCTCGAGTTTGATTTCTGCAGTAGCTTCCTACCTGGGCTCCCTGCTTTGGGGCATGCTCCGCCGCACTCTCCTTTCCTTACGGCAGCCATGGGGATCATTGCGATGTTAGGTTCTGCAATGGCTTCCAAATTCACAGCGTTCTCTAGAGGGCTGCTGTGGTACACAAGGTGGGCCTCTCTGACCTTATCTTCCACGGTTTCCTCATTGCCCACTGTTCCCGCCACACCGGCGGCCTTACTTCTCTTTAAGCACATCTAACATGCCCATGCCTGGGGCATTTTACACCTGCTTCCTTTAATGCTCTTCCCACTGTGTATTTCTTAATGAACACCTGCTGCAATGAGCAGATCCAAAATTCTATAGTGGCTCAAACACAGTGAATATTTTCTTTCTCATCTAATGTCCTTCCATGTTATCACTCTGGAACCCAGGCTAAAGGAAGTTCCGCCACATTGGACATGAGGCTTCCTGAGTTGCTCTGGAGGGCACTCCTTTCCAGAGACCTGGAAGATGAGAAGGGCTCAAAGGAGTTCACGGGAGAGCTTTTCCAGGACAGGTTGCATGTTCTGGTGAACGCATCCACTCCTGTGGCTTCACTAGAGCTCAGTCCCACTGCCACATCTGACAGAAGGGGCCTGGGAAATGTTCAGTGTGAGCCAGGAAGGGAAAGGTTCTGGTGAGTGGCTAACCACCTTTGCCACACTCTAGTCACCATCTGATTTCTGTCACATTCTCTAGGTCTCTTCCGAAATATAACCTCCTCAGTGAGACCTTCCGTCATTGTCAATGCAACACCGCATGCTTATACTCACTGTTCCTCTTCCTCCTTTTCTCTTTCTCTGTAGGACTTTATTGTTACTATACATCTGTTACTTGCTAAACAATTGTTTATCTGTAGTGAGTTGAACTGTAGTCTCCATCTCCCCACTACCATGTTCTAATTTCTAGAACCTGGGAATGTGACTTTATTTGGATAAAGGATCTGGGCGGATATAATTAAGAATTTTTTTTTTTTTTTGCCAGAAAGCTAATCTTTAGTCACATCAGGACGGAAACACTCTGTTTGTAATCAACATGAAAAAACTGTCATCGGGAACTTCTCTGGTGGTCCAGTGGTGAAGAATCTGCTTGCCAACACAGGAGACATGGGTTCCAGAGATCCCATCTCTGGTCCCAAAGATCCCACATGCAGAGGAGCAGCCAAGCTCATGTGACACAATTAGAGAGTAGCCCGTGTTCCCCACAACCAGAGAGAGCCCAGGTGCAGCAGCGGGGACCCAGTGTGGCCAAAAATAAACAAGTAAATACAGTTAAATGCAATTTAAAAGCTGACATCGGTAATCCTTCTTAGTGTGTGACTGGCATTTATTTTTTTCTTATTTTTATTTTACTTATTGAGGTTTAGTTGGTTTACAATATTTAAAATATTATGCAATATTGTATTATATTTTAGATGTGCAACATAGTGATTTGATACTTTTATAGAATATCCTCCTTTTAAAGTTCTTAGAAATTAATTGGCTATCTTCCCTGTGCTGTACAATATGCCTTTATAGCTTGTTCATTTTATACATAGTAGTTTGTATTTCTTTATCCTCTAGTCCTATCTTGCCCCTCCCTCGTCCCCCCTCCCCACTGGTAGCCACTCGTTTGTTTCTATATCTGTGAGTATGTTTCTGTTTTATTATATTCTTTTGTTTTATTTTTAAGATTGTACATATGAACAATAAGATAGAGTATTTGTTCCTGTTTGACTTACTTCATGGAGCATAATATCCTCCAAATGAATCCATGATGTTGAAAATGGCAAAATCTCATCCTTTTTATGGCTGAGTAATATTCCTTGGCATATATACTGTATCTTCTTTATTAAGTCATCTGTTGATGAACTCTTAGGTTGTTTTCATATCTTAGTTATTGTAAATAATGCTGCTATATATATATTGGGATGCATGTATCTTTTCGAATTAATGCTTTTGTTTCTTTCAGATATACTCACAACATATTAAAAAATAAACTCAGATGTATTAAAAACCTGAATGTAAAACTGGAAACCAAAAAACTCCTAGAAGAAAACATATGCAGAACACTCTTTTACATAAACTACAGCAATATTTTTTGGGGTCTGTCTCCTAAAGCAAAGGAAACAAAAGCAAAAAAATAAGCAAATAGGACCTAATTAAACTTAAAAATTTTGCACAGGAAAGGAAACCGTCAATCTCCTGAATGGGAGAAAATATTTGCAAATTGTATGACTGACAAGGAGTTGATACCCAAAGGATATAAACAGCTCGTACAACTTAATATCAAAACAAAACAAAATAAAAACCAAGCAACCAATCAAAAAATGGGCAGAAGATGGGAATAGACACTTTTCCAAAGAAGATATACAGCTGGCTAACAGCAGATTAGAAGATGCTCAGCATTCCCGAGAATCAAAGAAATGCAAATCAAAACCACAGTGAGACATCACCTCACACGTTTCAGAATGGCTATCATCAAAAAGACCACAAATAGCAAATGTTGGTGATGATGTGAAGAGAAGGGAACCCTTGTACGGTTGGTGAAAAGCTAAGGATTTTGAGATTGTGGGTTTAACTTGGTGGGTTCTAACTCAATTAGAAGTGCCCTCGTAAGAGATAATGAAGAAGACGACACACAGGAAAGGCCTTGTGAAGGAGGCAGAGACTGAGGTTATGTAGCCACAGCCAAGAATTCTCCACTAGGGCCTTTAGAAGGAGCATGGCTCTGCTAACACGTTCATTTCTGGTCTCCAGACCTGTGAGAACATAAATTTCTGTGGGTGCAAGCCATCCATTTTGTGCTAATTTGTTATGATGGCCCAAAGAAATCAACACATCTTCCCTTCTGAAATGTAAACTCCTGGAGAGAAGTGATTGTGTTTTGTTCATTGCTCTAGCTTTCCATGCAGAGAAGAGGGCCCATCCCATACTGGCCAATAATAAGTAATCAACGGATACTTGCTGAATGAATGAGTAAACAGAAATATGGAAATGTATCTCCAGCCAACCCCATGGACTGTAGCCCTCCAGGC